AGCGCATATGAACTGAATCTTGAAAAAGGAAATCATTATTAACAATAATTACATTTTTAAATTATTATTTTTTAATAAAGAACATTTAAAAAAGTAAATTTTTTTGATATTTTAAACTTTTTTATCAATAAAACTCTTTTTCTTACTCTTACTTGCAGGTAAGCATGATGCCACCATCGATATAACAACAAAACTTTTACGTACCAGCTCATCATTCTTCATGGCCTTATGCATCAATTCAAACTCGAACTGCAAATTTCAAACTAGCAACTTCCCAGTTATTCAACCCGGCACCGAAAAGGGCGAACAAAACAAAAGGTGATGGCTAAGCGCTGCAAAGGTGTCATAATTTACGTGCAAACAACTCTCAGTCAGCCATGTCAAGGTGACGACAACGCCGGTATGACGTGAACAACACCCAACAAATTGGCGTGGCAGACAGACACAAACGAATAGCCAATGAGTTGGCGCACCAGCATAGGGCTCAACAGTTGGCTAATTAGCGTTATAGTCTTATGACAAGCGCTGCAAATGAGTTGGCATGCCTTCTCTTTCCCCTTTCATTGTAATGGTAATTTATAGCACGGTCACGCTCGCCGCCGAGTTTCAGGCATGTCAAAAGTTTTAAAATTGAATTAGCTATAATTTTTTGTTTACATTTTGGTTGTAAAACGAAGAGGCTAGCAGTAAAAATAAGTATGTACATATATATGAGTTTTTGAGCGTAGATATTTTACTGGTATGTCACCATCATTACAAAGTTTTGCGAGCCTTGTTGCACTTAAAGTTAATTTTCTATTGCAAATTACATACATACATACATACATATATTTCTGTTAGCGGGTATGGCACTGCCGGTTGTAAATTTTGAAATTTTCTTCTTACCCAACACTTTCACTTATTAGCTTCCTTATGAGCAAAGTGAGTAGAGCATTTTAATTAGTGTTGAATGTAAAAAATAGTTCTACCAACCAAATTTGTTATAGCAGCGACATAGATTTATGTACACCTTGAAAACGTGGTTAGTGTAATTTCTTACTTATGGCATTTAGTTTGTTAATAATAAAGTAAACATGCACAAACGCTTGAATTCATTTACATACATACATATGTGTATACGACCCCATAATAATATTATTATACAACAGCTCTGTCAATTTAAAGCACAGCTCAATTTAGTTCATTCACTGCATACTTTTAGGCATGTTTGTTAATACGAGGTGGAATTTTGCTGCAATTTTAATAGCAGAGAGATGACTGAGAAAAATATGACAAAAAAGGTTTCTCTATGAAAAGTTTCTAGGCTAAGGGGTAAAACAGACAATTCCATAGAGATTGCTTAATCATTTAATATGGATGTTCTGGTTGATTTTGTTTATAAGAATGTCTTAAAAATCATAGAGAAAATCTGCTTGATTCCATTATTTAAAAATAAACACTTCTTAATTGTATGAAATGTCTTCATAAATTCATTGGAAAGTACTTCTTATTATTTTTATGTAATTTTCTTTGAATTTATTTTAAGGTATTTAGCTCTTCTTTTTTTTTATTTGATGTGTTCTTGAATTAATTTTAAATTCATGTTATTATATAGAATAGTATCGGGAAGGCGACTACCGTAGCCGTTTAAACTGCCATTCATTAGCGCAGAGAATTCCTTCTTCCTTTTGTTGAAAAGATAGTTCCAAAAAAAAGATGGTTTTTGATATTATCATATTTATTTGTTTATATGTTTTACAAATTATTTGCATAATTCCCAAAAAATTTATGAAAACGTCAATTTACAAAGCTGTTTAAACCTACTTTATTTTTTATGAATAAGACCATAAGTCATAGAGAAGTTAAGAAAAAGGTTTTAAAGATTAAAATAGTATCTTATAGTAATCACCATTTTAACTCATTCATAGTCAACTTAAAATGGATGTTGTGGCAAAAAGAGAAGTTAAAACAGTTCGTCGGCAATGATTTTTGTTTAAGTTTTTCGGCATTTTTAAATCATAAGTATGAAATTGAAAATAAAAAAATTAAATTGTTCAAAAATATTGTTTCCAGCATACCAGCGGAGTGCGAAAAGAGTCCGAAAGGATCCGCCTGAGAAAAAAACGATAAACTAAAAAATTATTTACATATTATTCAGTAAAAAACAGATAAAAACGCAAAAATCTTCAAATATGTAAATCAAAAAATATTTTTTATCTTGTTTAAAATACGTGTTTTAGGTTTGAAACCACTTTGCGCGCGCTCTATAAAATCCTTTGCCACAACCAGCATATTTTCTATTTAATGCATCTGAAAAGTTCTAAAGTTAGACAGAAGTAATTTTTTATGTATTGTTGTCTACCTCTAAATGCATTTGAAACTTGCGGTGTCCCTTTTTAGGAATGTTCGGAAACGACGATCAGTTTCTACTTGATTGAAAATTTCATTTTCAATTCACAGACTTGAGAAAAAAAAACAAGAGAACAAAAAAACACTGTGACTCCCTTCTCACTCCATACTAGGAGCGCTCCGAAAACACTCATTCGAGCTCTTGCTGTGGGAGTCCCTTTTCACTCCATATTCGGAGTGTTCCGCAGTTACTGCCTATTGAAGAGAATGTAGCAATGCTTTGTTTAATGTAAAACCTTAAACATTTTTCCGTGCAAATATTGCAAAAGTGGTCAAATGATTCTAAAATCTGAAATGTTGCAAAGTTTCAGATGGAGGACTTTAATTTGATAGATACATGACTTGGCTCTGTACAATTTGTAGATCACTGGGGATAAGCGCCTTGTCTTAGAATAATATATAGTATAGATATAGATTTTTAATTTCATACCATTTTGGGTTTTCAGTTCCTGTACTTCTTTGAGCTATGAAATAGTGGGCCACATTATCTATTAATGTACATGAAAAAATGCTTAATTTTTCATGATAGTCTTGACTTTTATTAACAACCTCCATTTTTTTTGGGCATCTATTTCGTAAAAACGTCTACCAATTGTCGAAAATTGGTACAATTTTTCCCTGAAAATTTTTTCTCTGCATAGTGCTGGCAGGGTCTACACTGAGGGAAATAATGCATACTAAAAATGAATACTTTATATTTGATTATCGTTTAAAAATGTTCGTATTTAAAAATAATATTTTCAGATACAAATTTATTACGCACTTATTTGACTGTTCACATCTGAGTATGCATATGTGAGTGTACACACGCATCCCCAGCATGTAGAGCGGTGACAACACACACATGCATACATAGTAACATCCCTGCAGGAAATGTATCTAACTATAAGCTTACTTCAAGTTGATTCGGAAGGAGCTATAAGTCACTATTATCTGTATATTTTCTTTAACGAAAGCTAACTATACTTTTATGGCGATGGCCGCGAAATAGTCAAGGGTGGTTACCTCTGCATTAGATGTAGTCAAGGGTGGTAACTAAATTGTAACTAACTACTTTTGGGCATTAAATATCAATTTATGTAGTCAAGTGCATTAGATGTAGTCAAGGGTGGTAACTAAATTGTAACTAACTACTTTTGGGCATTAAATATCAATTTATGTAGTCAAGTGCATTAGATGTAGTCAAGGGTGGTAACTAAATTGTAACTAACTACTTTTGGGCATTAAATATCAATTTATGTACTTTATTTATTTTATCACATTTCATATTCGTTTACATATTCTGCTGTAGGTGGTCCCATATTCGAACTTCGTCAGACATAACTTCGAAATGACAATATGGAATTTCGATCTTCCTTTTATTTGTCCTCAATTCAAAAAAGTATTTGTGAAGTGCAGGATATTTAAATAGAATCGCGTTTAAAGAAAACAATCTTTCGATTGCGTTTGCATTACTCTTGCATTACTTGTCAAAGAGTTTCATTTTAGCTTTTTGTAGCTAACCTCAAGTTATATATTTCATAGAAATCCCGCAAAAAAGCTAACTACAAGTAGGTTATTTTTTATCAATTGATAATTTTTTTCTGCAGGGATGTCTATCCGTACAAATCTCGTGCTGCGATGTTGATGGAAATTCAATATTTGAAAGCACATTTATATACCTGGATCTAGCTGAGTGCGCAAAGATGCTTACCACACTTTGTTGATATCGAGTCTCACTGCAGGCAACATGCAAATCAATATTTTTTTTTGTTTTTATCTTGATTATTCACTTCTCGGATGCTTTTTCAGAACTAACGCGGTAATTTTAATATGTGCGTAATTGAATTGAATAAATATTTACCAATATACAGTACTTTTGTTGACGTTTATAGTAAGATCAATTACGTTTCTATTTGATTTTAATATTTGTTTCCCTCAGTGTACATTGAAAAATGTTACCTGATGTGTCTGTTCCTGCTGTAGCAGTTTGTGGCTAAAAAAAAACCGTTTGTTAAGAAAACATTGTTTTTAATTGGGTGATCATGTAAAATTGTCGCGTTTTTCATCTTACTCCAATCNTACCTGATGTGTCTGTTCCTGCTGTAGCAGTTTGTGGCTAAAAAAAAACCATTTGTTAAGAAAACATTGTTTTTAATTGTAATGTAAAATTGTCGCGTTTTTCATCTTACTCCAATTCTTCAGTCTTTCTTTTCTGATCAGTAACAATTCAATATTTTTTCCCTACCGTGCTTTTAACTATTTTGAAGAATATCGACATATTTAATGCTAGCGTCCCTGTTCTAGGTGATATACTTAGCTGACTCCTTGCATGTTTGCAAAGCGATCGCCACTATCTAATATGCGATAATTTCCTTGAGACTTTTTTATTTTCCGCTCAACTCTGCAGCATTAATGATCCAATTTTTATTTTGTATGTCTGAATTTTTATTTACAGTCGATAGTCAATAAATAGGTTAACTACATATAAAAAGTAATTTTGTTTTCAAAACTTATTCATAAAATGCTACAGTAGGTCATAAAAATATAAAAAAAATTTATGTAGGCGGCGAATAATTTACAATGATTTTCCAATGATTATNTCAAAACTTATTCATAAAATGCTACAGTAGGTCATAAAAATATAAAAAAATTTATGTAGGCGGCGAATAATTTACAATGATTTTCCAATGATTACTACCTAAATAAATGAAAGTTAATTTAAAATATCCACATCTATTTACATACACACCGAACACGAAGACGGCTTACAATGAGTTCGCAATTTTTATTTATGCGGAAGCTAACAAACTAAAACTTAGATAACGAATGGAAGAAAAATTGACTAGTCATAGCTTGCAAAAATATGTGCGAAACTATAAATTCAACAAGTAACGTGTTAATTTGAAATATTCATACATATAAATACATAAAAAATCCGTCATTGGCTCACTTTGGCCTACTCCTCATCCATGGCGCCGCCCTGCTGGCCTCGCCCCCCAATCCTCTTTTATGAGGTCCGCCGCTTTTTCGCCAATCATAATGACCGGCGCATTGGGATTTCCATTCATGATGGTCGGCATAATACTGGCGTCTGCAACACGTATACCAGATATGCCATAGACACGCAAGCGTGGGTCCACCACTGCGGTCACATCCCAGCTGGGGCCCATTTTGCATGTGCCCACCGGGTGGTAAATGGTAAAGGTGAATTGCTTAATGGCACAGGCCCAATAGGCGTCAGACATGAATTCATGTTGGCGACAGCCGGGCAGTGGTATGTTGTGAGGGCGCGAGCCGAAGCGCTGGAAGGCCTGCGTGTTGGACACATTAATGGCTAGCTTGATGCCTTCAACCAACACATCGACGTCCTTTTGATGTGCGAAGTAGTTGGGTATAATTTTGGGCTGCTGCAGAGGATTCCGTGAATTGAGGCGTACCCAGCCTGTGCTCTTAGGACGCAGTAATAGCGGCAGGATAGACCAAGTCTCTGAATTGTGTAGCGGTTTGTAGACGGTGTTGTAGAAGCCATCGCGTAGATTTAGAATCTTACGTATCTGCTCGCCGCCGTCTGAATTGACCGAGCTCGGAAGAAAGTGAAACTGGATGTCGGGCCAGTCCACCGCAGGATCTTGGTATTTAGTGTTAAGGAAAGCTACACCTTCTACGCCGGAGAAAGTCATAGGTCCGCGTTCGCGCAAAATGTACTCCATTGCAACGGGTATGGTTTGAAAGCGTGTGCGAGTCACTGTTAGCGGGGCGTCGACGACGAAGGTGAGACCACCCAAACCCACATGGTCTTGCAAATTGTCACCCACTGGTAGATCGGATAATACATTGATGCCGTGTTCTTGTAGGTGTTCAGCCGGACCGATGCCCGACAACATCAGCAGTTGCGGTGAATTGAGAGCGCCTGCAGACAAGATTACTTCACGCCGTACGAACACCACGTTTTTCTGACCGCTTTTGATAAACTCTACGCCAATCGCGCGTTTGTTTTTATCTATTAGCACCTTGGTGGCTTGCGCGTGCAGTAGCACATCCAGATTTTTGCGCAAGCGTACTGGTCTGATGAATGCCTTGCCGGTGCTGCACCGCGACCCCCTGCGTATGGTGCTCTGTGTGAGCATAAAGCCAGTCTGCTGTTCACCGTTGATATCGCGCACTTCGTAGTCCATTTCTATGCCCGCCTGCAGAAAGGCTATGGAAAGCGGTGTACGCCAAGGTGACTCCTGCACCGTTAAATAGCCGCCCGTTTCATGGTAGGCCGTCTTTGCCAGGTAGGGATTACGCACATCTTCTGATTTGAGAAAATATTTTAGCACGTCTTCGTAGCCCCAACCAGGGTTGCCCAGCGACTCCCAGTGATTGTAGTCATTCTTGGAGCCGCGCACGTAGACCATGGCGTTGAGCACGCTAGAGCCACCCAGCACTTTGCCACGCGGCCAAAAACATCGATCGCCCTTCATGGCTTGACAGTATTGGCGAGTGGGTGACGGTGCTGTCGCATACTTCCAGTCTAGTTCGGTGAGCTGTAAATAGCCGGCGAGCGCGGGAACGTCCGATATCTCTGTCTCGTCACCGCCAGCCTCGAGTAGTAGGACCGTCCAGTTGCGTACTTCCGATAGGCGATTGGCTATAACTGCACCGGCCGAACCGCCGCCAACAACAATAAAGTCATACTGACGGCGCGTCTACGAGAGAAAGCAAAATTGGACGTATTTTTTTAAGAAGTTTCGTCCTACCGACTGTTATTGTTTTTTTTTTAACAAGTGTTGTTTTCGGGGACCGTTTATCGGCAAAAAAATAAAAAAGGCATTGGACTGCATACCCGAAAACAACACTTGGTATTTTTTAATAAGCTTTTGGAATTTAAATTTGCGCTCACTCACCATTTGCGGCTCCTGCACCTTGTTCTCCGGATCGATGCTTTGGTAGCGATAATAGTTCATCCCGATCGCTAGTAGAGGTATCATGCCAAGCAAAGATGTCATTGTGCCAAACGCCATTTTTCAGTAATTGTCAAATCCAAGGATCCTCTCTGCACTTCTCACGTAACTTCAAATTACTACTGCTGATACTGAATCCAGTACTGTGTGGCGCACTGGTTGACAGTACAGTCTCACTCAAAATCTTGGGTTTGTAATTGCGAATGCCACCAGGTCGCGCTGACTTGAACTGAGCGCGTGCCTTCTCGTCCTCCTCCAAAATATCCAGATAAGATTTGATATACAAGTGCCGACAAAGGTAGTTCTTTTTATGATTGAGAGACGAGCGGGAAAGATTCGATGAAGATGCGACGGAAGTGGAGCAAACGCAGGGGCTAGTCGAGCACAGTGATGACGTGGAGGTAGCTGAAGAGGAGAGAAAAGAGGAGGTGCAATGGCAGGAGGCGTAGTAAATGCCACTATCGGTGCTTGAGGAATCTTTTCGCTTATGTTGACTGGGTTTTCGTTCAATATTTTTGTATGTCGTGGCTTCGCTGGGTTGCGTATTTTGGTAGGTGCCGGATGTGGCGGAAATTGATGTATTGCAGGTGCTGGTGCTTTGGTCGGTGGTGCTGCTGATAAGACTGAGCTTTTTGGCTATGCGAGATTTCTCATACGTTTGCTTATTTAGATTGTATTTTTGTCGGAGGCGATAGTGCTCGTCGTCGGTGGAACTGGAGGACGCCGTCGATATGCTTGAAGAGGGCGCATAAATACTGCTAAAGTCTTGTGAGTGTCTGGTGTATTTGCCGTTACACGAAGTGAAGTTGGAGGCTGGTTTGAGATTTTTCGTTATTTCTCGTTGCGGATGTGGTTGGTGAGATTGCGGTACTTGTTGGTGTGATTTGTGTCGTCTAACAATGCTGCATTTCCTTTGTTGAGATATCTCCTGTCCCATATTTTTTTAGAGGTAGAATACGGGAAGCTGTAATTAAAATGACAAAATTAGAACACCTGAGATAAGTTTTTAAGGAAAAAAGTATTGTAAGTATTCGAAATTAATAAAAAAAGGAATATAGAAACTAAGATAGGCGAAAAATACAACATAAATACACAAATATAATATAATTGCGATTTGGACCGACAAAAGGAGAGGAAAAAACGTTGGCGCCTGCAGAGTAGCCACTCTTATACAAATATCCATAAAAGAAATGATATTTTTCCCTAAAACACGATGTGGCATTTTCAGAAAATCGCTGGCTTTTTTACAGATGTTGATCCATTTTATTTTTTGGAGCCGCCAGTATAAAATGTAATGATTGAGTATGCCCAGGGAGTGTCCGTATCCATCCACTGTTTTTTCATAGGGAAGCACCTGGCGTACTATCTTACAAAAGCGACTCAAAATGTACATAAGTGTATAATTTACTTCATTTATTTCGTTAAATACATTAGCGCATTAGGATTTAATCTCTTATTACGCAATACAAAGAACATTCATTCTGAACATCATTTTGACATGGTCTATGCCTGCATTCTACAACAGAATAAACGAATATTTGTCTGAGTAAGATACCAGCGCTTTACTAAAGGTTCTCCGAATCTGTCCAGAACTTTGACACATTCTTATTCTAAGTAGTATGAGATCATGAGTTCTGAGAGAGCCAGCCTGGCTAACTGTCTGCAACGGCTGGTAGATGGCTTCTTGAATCTTATCAAAATTACTACATACTACATGCAAAAATTTCTGTATGAGCGGAATTGGTTGGCCTTTTAAGTTTCTTTAAGTTTCCATCTCTTACTATTTTTTTAAATCAAATTTATATATCTTTAGTAATATTTATTAGGTTCAGAATTCCACCATGGAAGCCTTTTCCCTTGTTAGTCCCTCCTGTACGAATGTATGTAGATACTTCTTACTTGCGGGCTTCAGCGATTAATACCAGTGGCTAACCGAATTATAGTGAACCTGGCCATAAGAAAGAATTGCTCTTCCAAAAGCCTTCATCAAAATGGGCGGCCATTCATTTCAGCTAGCGATGGGCGAAATGCTTTTTGGGTACTGGTAGATCGGAGGTGGCAAAACGAATCGAGATAGATATAGACAAATGTATACATAAATGATCAGAATGAAAAGAGAAATCGATTAAGCGGTGACTCTCTGTCCGTCCGTCTGTGCACACGATAACTCGCGTAAAAATTTAGGTATCTTAACGAAACTTGGTATGTGCACTTCTTTCGGGCGTAGGACGGATGGTATTGAAAATGGGCAAAATCGGACAATAACCACGCCTACCTCCCATATAACGGTAATTTCCAGAAATACGAGAACTACGATATTTTAGTAACAACTGAAAATTATTCACTCAAAATTGATATATACACTGAGGGAAAAAAATATTAAAATCAAATAGAAACGTAATTGATCTTACTATAAACGTCAACGAAAGTAATGTATATTGGTAAATATTCAATTCAATTACGCGCATATTAAAATGACCGCGTTCGTACTGAAAAAGCATCCGTGAAGTGAATAATCAAGACAAAAACTAAAAAAAAAAATTTAATTTGCATGTGCCTATAGTGGAATCCGAACCCGACCATCTTCGGATATCAACAACTTGTGGCAAGCATCTTTGCGCACTTAGCTACACCGAGACATATAAATTTGCTTTCAAATGTTGAATATCCATCAACACCACAGCACGCGATTTGTACTATGTATGTATGTGTGTTTTGTCACCGCTCTCAGAGCGGCGCTCTGCATGCTTGAGGTGCGTATGTACACTTACATATACATACTCAGATGTGAACAGTCAAATACGTGCTAATAAATTTTGTATGAAAATATTATTTTTAAATACGAACATTTTTAAACGATAATCAAATATAAAGTATTCTTTTACTATGCCTTATTTCCCTCAGTGTACAATAATTTTTAGACGAAAAATAAGAATACTATACATTTTTGGAAAATAGGCGTAGCCACGCCCACTTATGGTTACATGTGTATATATTGGTAACCGCTGCAACAATTTCTTCCAAACTTGGCACAGTTGTCAGCCTTGGTACAACATACCAAACGGCCGAAAATTTTAAAATCGGGCAATAACCACGCCCACATCCCATATAACGGTAATTTAGAGAAATACGAAGTACTCGATAAATCAGTAAATATTAAAGCTAATTTATTCAAAATTGATGCTTGCAACAATTCTTTACCAAGAAATACATTTATGGTAAAAGCGTGGCACCGCCCACTTATGATCAGATACATGTATCTCGGTAACCGTCGTCCCAATTTGTACCAAACTCGGTATGGTTATTGTGCTTTCCACATAAAAGCAAAACGTTGAAAATGATTGAAATCGGAGTAAATTACGGCCGCTTTTCATATAACGGTAAATTCAGCAATGCTTGCAACTTCAATATTCCGAAATTTAAGGAGCTAATTTACTCAGTTTATACTAAAAACAATCCCTTGAAAAGAAGTAACATTGTTTTGAATTTTGGGAAATAGGCGTTATATCGCCCACATATATATATATAAGTTTATCTCATTATGTCTAACTGAATGTTCTATCGATGATGTTTAAAATAGGGGTAAAAGCACCCCGGCTTACAATGTAGTGGTAGTTTTCGGAAAGGTGGAAAACATATATGTATTTAATACTTGCGCCGAGTATTAAATGTTCGGCTCCACCCGAACTTGGACTTTCTTACTTGTTCTTTTTTGTGTATGTTACCGCATAACTTTGGACCACGCTAACCGATTTCTATAATTCTTTTTTCAAAGGAAACGTGTTCTAATTTGGTTTAAATCCGATCATGGGAATATTAAGAGATTAACGATAGTCTTACATTTTTATATGAGAATTGAAGTCGGTTTGGTTTTTTGCTTAAAAATTACTTGTATTTCAACATATATTTCATGATTAAAAGAAAAATACTGATAAAAATAAAACATTTCGCACTAAGTCATTGTGCTACTATGATAGCACGGCCGAGTAATCATAGTCAACTTATGTACAGTAGTCGAAAAAATTATAGCCGCACCAAATTTTCACAAATTTTAAAATATTAGTTTTGTTGTTATTTAATTTTGGTTAGTTTTTTATAGTTCATTCTTTAACAACATCCGTATAAATACAAGATTAAGGGCAGTGTCACACGATTGATATTTGCCAAAATTTGGCGTAAATCGTATCCTAATTGTGCGAATACCCAAAAAATTTTCCTTATGCCAATCACGAAAACTAATGTGTTGAACCTTTTCAATTGAACATCGCTGTATTGTACCAATGTTTTGCTACAAAAAAAAAAATTGTCCAATTTTTTTTTTTTTATTTTGTAGCAGCTAAAATATTGCATTATTTTAATGTTAAAAATAATGTAAAGGCAGTAAATAAAATGTGAAAACATTGCTTGAGGAGAGATTTCTAAACCAGTTCGTCGTCATAAAACACTTCATTCTCACTTGAGGTTTCAGTATTCCCAAATTCCCCACCGATATTATTTATATTCAGAATGCAAATGCTGCTTTGTGAAACATTTACCAAAAATCGCTGGTAACTACCTGAAAAGAATACGACTGTTTTTGAAAGCTCTATTCACTTTGACTAAAAAATTTCGAAATTTCAATCCGCAAATTCTCTCAAGTATTTGGCTTTTTGCGAAGGCCGCTCACCAATGGCCTTTGCGAATCGGCGCAAGTGCCTTTGTAGCATTGCCATGGCTACGCTACAGGAGATGAAATGTAATCCAAATTGAGGCTGCTACTTTTTTTTCTATCATATACTTCTATTGTCACAATTTATCACCATTAAAATTGACTATTTATCACCAAAACACCTATGTGACTCCCCCATACAACCTAAAGTTGAAGCTTAAGATATCGACATAGATAAAGATATGGATAAGGATACACTGAGAGAAATAATAATAATAATACTTTATATTTGATTGTCGTTTAAAAATGTTCGTATTTAAAAATCATATTTTCATACAAAAATTTATTACGCACGTATTAGACTGTTCACATCTGAGTAAGTATATGGAAGTGTACATACCCAGCCAGCAAAATATCCGAAAACCAATCCGAAAAAGGATACTTTGACGATCCGTTTACCCACTAAACTGTGCGGAAAAATGTATGTACAAAAAATACCGAAAGTTGTTTGTGAAACGGATACGGTTTCGGCTGTTTTTTCTGAAAACGTCATTTTCTACCCAAAAACGTCTTTTTCAAATGCATGCACAAACTTTTATTGTATACAAAGGTACATAAGTATGTACATATGTAAGGTATATTAAAATGTCACTTCGACAGAGCACATCTAAAATTTATTGTAAACTGGTTTGAGATCGTTAATATAAAAATCATTTTATACATACACTTGTGATCAGCTGGTTCAGTCATCAACATGTTGACCGATTGTGGCTGTTTTTCTTTGGTTTAATTAATGGTTTTTATTTCTCCATAAAAGCCTAGCTCATTATATAACAAACTAAATATAAATCCACATTTCAAACTTTGTGCAAAAATTATAAAAAAATCTGCAAAGTATCAGCTAGATTTTCAAATTTTTATTAAGATTTTTAAGAATTTTTTTAGTATTCAGCTTGATAGAACATTTAATTTCCAGGGTAATAATGTGCAAGTTATAAGTTTCTAAAGAATCGCGTTGATTTTTAATAATTTTTTTTTTCTTGTAGACATTTGGTTTTGTGGTCGGTTGTCGAAAATGCTAAATGACGTTCGGCTAAGAAGTAACGTAGCAATATTTCAGCCTTCTTTGCGTTCATTACATTTTCAATGAAGCCTTAAAAAAGTCGCCTACTTTGTTCTGACATTTTATGCTGCTACAGTTTTTTTGATGGTTTTGCGAGCGGGCGTGTTGCAATAGATCAGCTCTTCCTGATTTGGCTTTTAATGTGCAATTGCAAACATTGCAATAAGCCTATTAGCCGCAGGTGTTCATAAAA